GAATTAATTCTTAAATATATTGATTATATAAGAAGCAGTCTAGAAACAATTATATATAAAAATATATTTAGTTACTTATCTAACTTTACTTCATCAAGTTCTGCATATATATCATTATATTCAGCTTTCAGTTCCTAAAATTAGGATTCAGAATAAATAATATCGCTGCGTAAAATATATGATTTACTCTTAAATTGTTTTAAATTCTCTTTCATAATTCTCTCATTTGCTGATAAGTAATTAGATATATTTTGATATTTTAGATCCTTATCGGTTCTATATAAACAGTGGTGACACATATTTGCCTCTGGTAGAAGGTCAAAAAATTTAATTAATCATTTCAGTGCCTTCTTTAATTTCTTTCCCTCCTTATCGTTTCTGGCTATAGATATATATGAATTGTATTTTTGATGAGAACATGGGTTAGGTTTTAGTTTTTTTACGTTTACTATCAATTTATTATAGTACTTTTAGCATAAAGTCTTGTCAACTAAGTTCAGATGTTGACTTGAACTTGGTATCATTACTTACTCAGATATAATAGATGCTCTATGCTTTTCATAATCACAGGCAATATCATCCTGACCCTCTAAATCACAATATTAAGTCTTCCTTTTTTCCTTTTTTTCATTTGTGATAGTTATTTTTTCACAGACTTTTTGTGTAGGCATTTTATGTGTATTTCTTTAATAAAATCACCTATTACAACAAAATAGAAAAAAACTCTTATTAGCTAACTTCTTAATTACCAAACTTCTTCTTGAATTATTATAATATGTAATAAAACAAGATATATACTTTAGAAAATTTTTTATTGTAACCTTGGCGAATTCTTTCCTATAGCTGCAAATCCATTTAAAATTAGATGATTATTTTTTTATATGAATTTAATATGTGACGATCATTTTAAAAATCAACCAATCAGGTTTAAGTTCGCTATGCTCATCAAAGCATATATGAGCGGATATATGATACTTAGTAAAGTTATATGTAGTGGAATCAGTATTTCCTCTATTAGGTAGTACTTATAAATACTTGATTTTTTACGTATGACATAAAGTTCCATAACATCGCCTATAATAAAAGCAATATGATTATTTACTATTAGTTTGTAATATAAAAGCAGGTAATGAACTGAAGTAAAGTAAAAATATATTGCATTATCTATGATATTTATAGCAAATATAGACAAAATCTGCCTCTTAAATGATATATTAAATACCCTCTTAAGCTTTGATATTTTTCTAGTAGTATCGATAGAATCTTTAGAAAATTGTACTAATTTTTTGTGGTCTTACCAACGTTTGTCTTAACTTAAATCTGACCTGTCAGTTTCAAGATATATAATTTCAAGCTTCGCTTTCTCTAGTTGCATTATAGTCATATAATTAGGTTTCTATGCAAATTTATGAGATCCTTTTTATATAGTGCTAATTGAACTCCCCTCTTCACTTCTATTTAAGAAAAATCATTAAATAAGAAAGGCTACAGAATTATTTTATAACTGATACTAGAAGTAGTACTTACCATATATCCTATATAGCAGGATTTTTAAGTAATTCACTCATTACTATATTTATTAATAATGTAAGTACTTCACAGACATACGATCTTTTGTTAATCAGTTTCTCCTTCTTTGAATATACTTTATACTTAGGTAACTTCCAAACTTTAAACCTATAAAAAATTCCGCCTATTTCCATTATTTATGCTATAAATTAATATATATAAAAAAGCAGAGTATAGTAGGCAAAACTTAAGCGAATTTATAAAGATTCTAGTATTTGTCTTATCATTTCTTGAAGCCTCTCAGAACTATCTAGCCATTTCTCAAATTCAATATCACTCAAATTTTCATCCAAATTTATCTTCGACTCCTTATTATAGATAATTTCTTTACAAGTATCCATTATTATATCATTATGATCTAGCTTGTATTTCTTAAAAGGTTCCTTAAAAATATCGTAAAACGACTTAGGCATCTTTGTGAAAGGTTTCAATTTAATATCAAGAACTCTGTAACATATTGAATAATCAAATCCAAGGCTATCGACATCTATTTTCTCTAATTCTATTCCAATCCTTTTTTACATAGTTTTTTCATAGCCGACACTTTTACTTTTGAGCTGATCAATATTACGTATTAAAAGCTCTAAATTTGCGTTTACATTATCAGACCATATTTCGATATCAATCACTAGAGCTTTCATTCCTATGAGAAAGCATAAATCTTCAAATGCAGTTATTACCTAAATATAGTTAACTTAATTTATGCTTAATGTTATTTTGATAAACTAAGATAAATAATCTTGCGCAAGATCAGATTAGGTTTTTATTTTCATAAAAAATATCAAAATGCTAGCAATAAGTCAGCCAAAATGTGCACTCGCTAGAACATATATATAATTAGTTAATGTTATGTAAAAGTAATAGCATCACAACAGATATAGCATATTCACTAAAATATATATATTTCAGAAAACCTAAAAATACATAACATCAGATCTACATATTTGCTATGATTATTGTTTTTCTGCCTACCCATTTCGCAAGTTTTTTCCAGTGTCAAAGTTTTGAAGCTTCTTTCTTTGTTCAATATCTTCTGAGAGGATTTGTTCAAAAACTCTTTTCAGAACATTTTCAAAATTTTCTTTCTTCTTTTCAAGAACACCTGTCTATTCACCTTGCTTCACTCATATGAATAATGCTGTGAAAATCCTAACTATGCTGAGAGGCTTTCTCATTAAAAGGAATTCTTCCATATTTTAATAGAGTGAAGGTTAAATGTTAGTGAAAGCTCTGCTAAGCAAAATAAAAAAAAATAACATAAAGGCATAATAATTTTACTATACTGCCTTTTAAATGACTCTATTTACTTCTCTCTAGGCTTATAATCATGTTAGAAAAGAGACAGGAGAATATGCAAGGTATTTTACACTTATGTTCAAAAATAAGGGCATGCAGAATGTGTATTAAAGATCTCAACATTACATCATATATACTTTAATGAAGATCGAAAACATGTTAATTTATATCATACACGCTTACATGCATTAGCTTTAAGACGCTTCACATGGCTGAATAATATAATATTTAGGATCTTTCTCAAAAAATACTTTATTAAAATTATTATACAGTATATTGGAGGATCTAACCCTACAGATTATACATAGCGCCTTTGGCTAATTCCACTAAGCGATTATCCATCATGTAATGCAAAAAATAAATTATATTAATTAAACTAATTAAATAATTGTGATTTTTATTCTATCTTTCAATCTTAATGTAGTACCTTTTAGCTGATTATGATGGTTTAAGTTATTTTGTTTTGCGTATTTAGATGAAATAAATATTTCGCTTGTATTGCTTCGGTAATTTGATGATTGATAAGAAGTTGGTAAAATATTTTCTTGCCTAGCAGGTAAAATACAAATTGGCTCAAAATTTGAAGCACTTGGCATAGTATTTTTTTCTATGGTTACTTTAGATTGTGCATAATTTTTATAGCTAGCCATAAAATTTCCATCATAATCATAAGATACTGATGCTAACTTATCCTTTTTTGAGTGTGAGTTAGATTGAGAGAAAAGCTCTAGACGAAGGCGATTAATTTTAGCCTCTTTTTGTAATATGAATTGTTTATATTACCAGATATGAAATTCCTTTCTATCAATAGATTTTAGAATTTCTTCTCTTTTTACATATTCATTCAAAATAGTATTTTCAGAAATACATCTCTTCAAGTGGCTATCACGATAGTAATTAGCTCTACTAAAACCATTTTCAGGTATGAAAACTAAGGAGTCACATACATTACAATATATGTAATTTGATGGAAGACCATGGACTTTATCATGTTCATATAAATTTCCATACATTGTAATATATCCATTCTTAGAAAGAATTCTTGGGTTCTCTTCAAGTATTTTTCTAAATGGACCACGAATACAGGAGCATCACATTTCTGGTGTTTCATGATCATATCGTTCACCTAAAGGACATAATGCTTCTAATATTCTTCTATATTCTTCAAAGTTTACATTACTATAGCCCACAGAAACTAGCTTATATTGGGCTCTACTATCTAAATCCATAATAATGTTTTAGTAGATTATAACAGATTATAACGATTTTAAAGACTTTTAGCAATTTATAGCAAGTATATTATAATAAAATATCATATTCATTTTTATTCGATTATCCTCTTGTTCAAAGAACTTTGGGATAAAAATAGATTTATAACCGACATAAAGATTTGGTTAAAAATAGATCCGATCATCATGGATAAAGTTTGTATCGCCCTAGCTCCCCAGGGACTACTCAAATCACGAGGATCAGCCCGGCAAAAAATTGATCATGATGTTTGGCGGGATATGCAAATGCTTTATTATATGTTTGAGAATACACGTGAACGAAATTCTGTTTTTTCTGGTGGTAGGGTGTCCGAGCTCCGACTTAATTGCGCAGAAGAAATGGCGCAGTATATTAACAAACCTTTCGTTTTAAGATTTCGGCCATTACATAATCTGTTTCACTAACTTCGTTTATGTTTTAGAAAGTAGTAAATAATATAATAACTTACTCTGGAATAGACTGAGAAGGTACATCTAGAAAAAAATCCCCGACGAAAAATCACGCACGTGTCCGTTCCAATTTGGAACGCAGATTACTTTTGCCAAGAAAAAGGATTGTAGACAGCCATACAATGCAATTACATATAAACATTCTTTCAATGTACAGTAACCACCCACATGTAGTAGCCCGAATATTTATTATGCATGATATTTTTAGCGAAAATCATGTTACTATGCGCAGTGTAAAGATCCTTCTATCACAATTCGGTCGTAATAACAAGCCAGTAATTGTAGGATAAATTTATTTTATTTTCTGATGCAAATAAAGCTATTTCATTTAATACATCCTAAAGTTGGATATTATATAATATCATTAAATTGCCTTTAAAACTGAGCGGTATTTCTTATGTAAATATACTAAAAACATTAAAAACGTCCATACCAAAATGGACATGACCTATTAACATTGTGTGTCTTGCTAACCAACTGTCGAAACTTTGGAGAGTTAAGAGTAACCCGTTTGAATGATGCTTTTGCTAACGGCGGACTTGGATGACAGAGGTTTGTGTACAAAACGTTGAAAGATTCACGAAAAATTTCTCGCACTATAAAAAGCAAATCCATTTCGTCAACAAATGAGAGCATCTCTTTTACTGAAGCAGGAAATGTCATTTGTCCAATATGGAGCATGATATACGTTCCTTTAATTAGATCCATGATATAAAAATCAACCTTGTAGTCTGCAAAATAATATTCCAAAGAAATGATTAAAAGGACTACAGTATATGGAAGAATAATGCCATTTTATTATTTGTCTTACCAACACATTATAAACCTATCACTTTAACATCAGCTCCTTTGTCGATAGCCGAATCTAAACAGTCCTTCATGAAGATACCAATGCGGATGAGGTCATTACAGTTTTTAAATACGTTATTTTTTTGTGATGGCGGGCTGACTTCTCCTACAAATAAAACTGCTTTTGTTTGTAACTGATGAACGACTGAAACTGTGAAATCGGGTTGTTTTGTTCGGCCTTCAAATTTTCTGGCCTTACTTTCCTCCAGTGCTGTATTTGGCCATTGAACGATGTGTTGATTCGGATCATCAAAGAATCCTCTCATTATTCGGTCGAGATAATTCGTGATATGAGTCATTTCACTGTGATCGTTTCTTATAGTTGACATGGGTAATGTTCTTAAACAATCCAAGATAGTATAACCCGCATCTTCTCTCAATATCTCTTCATTTGCAAGTTGTCCAAGTAACCAATTTGTGGCATCCTTACGTGAATTTTTCATTGCCATCTTAATGGCTTTCCTAAATTTTGATTCGCAATTAAGGTCTAATTCAATTTGTTGTTTCGGCATAAATTCTTCATGGATTTTGTCGAGTAAAGGTGTTCCGAAAAGATTAATCATGATATTCGAATGTGAATCCCGAGTCAGCATCAAGATTGAGGATAGGGACAAAATTTCATGTACGTTGGACTCTACAAACAAGCCATTAGTCCTTGCAATCTCTAATGACTTGTTTTGATAATTACAGAACAACCGAGATATATTAGCTTCTTGTAAAAAGAAATCATTAATTGAATCTCCGTGTTCAAAAGAAAGTTCGCTCGGGATGTCATCAATTGATATGATGACACTATCTTCCTCTAAGAACGGATTGTTAACAGGATCAAGTATTGGAAGTTCTATTGTCGAACTTTTTAATGTTGGGCTCTATATCCATCCGGCTGGTCATCCGATTCCTCGTTATTTTTCCGCTGTCTTTGTTGAGTTTCGCACACAGGACGAAAGTATTCGTCAATTTTTGCTCGTTTTATAGGCGGACCTCGCTTAATATGGTCATCCTAAATTAATAGAATACAAAGAATAATTGGTTTTGCTGGTTCTCAACTTCTAGATGATAAAAAAGATATGCATCTGTACCTGATTGCGCTAGTTCCAGCAACAATAATCCCGTCGTTGACAGTCCCACCGTTGATAGTCCCACCGTTGACAGTCCCGTTGTTGACAGTCCCGTTGTTTATGATAATCGGTTTATTTGAACGTTCTTTTTCCCATTTTCTTGCAAGTTCGCGATCGGGTCGATTATCAGAACCTTCAGACTTACAAGTTTAGAATTACTAATAAAATAATCTTGAAATTTTTGATTACAATGAAATTAAAACATCCCATCCGCCGAGCTCGGCCAGAAGCCTTGAACACAGAGCAACCCAGAAGGTCACTTTGCGCCTCAACGGGGCCAGTGTCAGATCGGCCAGAAGCCTTGAACATCAGGAAACCCAGAAGGTCGCCTGCGCTCTAACACTGCCGGACGTCAATACAACCCAGAAGGTTACCTGCGCCCAAACACTACCCTAATCGTTCCCAGAATTTTTAATCTCACTTACTCCTCTATATTTGTCGAGCATCTTCTGTGCTTCCTTGCACCCGCGACCTTTCTTGTTATTAACGATTATATCAAGGCTTGAAGTATAGCAATCAATCTTCCGTTCGAACGGTTCAATATCACACTCGTTTAGGAAATCGAGAACATTCCACTTGGAAGCTTCGCGTTCAAAATATTTATGAATACTTTTTCTCAACATTATTTTTTAGATTAACCAAGTTATACTTTTTTTTTCCTCTACAAATTTCTAAGCCACTTGGATTTGTGTCATTTGACTATAATTAGCTATGTTCAGCTGACATGTATTACACAAATCCGTCCATATGATACGTTTTTATTTTATGATAGTTATTATCCATTCGTATTACATAAGTACTCATTATTAAACTCCGAAGAACCTTTGCATGAATGATGTAATAAAAATCATATTTTTTTCAATTTATTTCCGACTGATTCATGTGAATAATTTCCCTGCGTCTATTGTGATCAGAATGCCGATAAGAGGAGATTAACATCGTGATGACATGCCTTAAGAAGCTAGCCGAACAATAAACCAACCTAACCTTATTATTACTTTGCAGAATATACGAGTTCGTTTGATTGTTGATATCGATGATTCAGATAATGGCAAATTTGAGATTTTTGTTTTACTTGTATAAGACAGATAAAAGGATTCACTAACAGGACATCACCTTTTTATATAATTTGCAGGATCGATCTTGGAGTACGCTTGGGGAAAAATTACATTAATATGATCGCATCACGAAAATCTGATCAACGGCTTTTCCTTAATTTAACGCTATTCATAATCCATATGTAAAGATCATCAAGGGGCTATACACGAGAATGTGCGAGAAAGTTTGAGAATAAATTATTTTGCGCAGTTGCTTGTTCCCGTGATATATGTAATGATTATCATAATATTACTGCGCATTATTTATCAAGCTACAATCGATCTACAAGGGATAAACATTGTGTCTGGGCTCGTCCAATTGCATATAAGATCAGCATCATACTTGGCTGGATTGTATAATGGCAAATTTCAGCGGTCTAAAATCGTGTTTTCTCTGAGATCGCTTGGTATTTTTTTATACAGTGCATACAATTTAGTCCCAACCAATAAATTTAATAAAATTCAAATTGCTACTCCTCACTCAAAAAAAATAATAAACATCAAATCTTATTATAGAATGATAGAACCATCTAAGGAGAACACAACTATAGTTTCATATTTGCTGTAAAACGATTTTTGGTGGAGTAGTAGCAATTCGAAGTTGAGGTAATTTTACTATTAGACTGATATTTTTGGCCACGCTTGCATGTTATCACGTGATCAAAATTCTCGCCATTGATTGGCTGATTTGCATTTCGTAATACTGATCAAAAGCCAAAAATCATAAAATCAATCTCGCTATCTTTTGAAATGGATTTATTACATAATTTGAATATACAAAAGTTTTTTAAAGCTGCTAAAGATAAGTATTTTATTTAATTGCTATTATTGATATGTATTTATTCACACATATTTATTAATTTTTTACTTTTATTCTTGTCCGTAACCAGTGTAAATAAACCAGTGTATCTAATTTGCCTAAATATTAACTGTTTGTAAAACTGAATTGGGAACTCAGCGATGTGAACGATATTTTTTAACCGCAAATTCTGCAACCTGACCTGTTAAGCCTTTTCGGTATACATCCATATAACGAAATGCCTTTATTGCATACCGACGAATAGTTGTAAGTGAAACAGAAGCAAGAGCTAATGGAACAGTTCTTTGCAATCCCATCCACGAGTAATCACAATTTGACCGACTAAATTTCTTGGCTGCATCCAAAAAGTTCTCAATATAATTGAGTTCACAATGAAATTTAGGATAGAATATAATTTGATGCCCAGCTGCAACAATAACCTCTTCTAATCGACTCTTTTGTGCTAAAAAGTCTAGTTGCTGACTCATTATTTTTCGTGCTTCTTCCAATTTCAACCCCCTGTCCAGCCACAATCCCCTTTCTGTTAAAACTTGTTTTAACCCTTTTTGTTGTTCACACAATTTAGGAATATGATAATTTAGCAGAAAGACCATTTCTTGTTAAATTCCCTTACCAAAATACGTGCTGCGTATATTTGGCTGCTTTCCACCAGAGCTGAGATTCATATGTTTGGCAATAAGTGCATTTAGTGAAAAAGCAGCATGGCTTGATGCATTATCGAATGCAAATAAGGCCTGGCATCCTGAAAAGTGTGTTTTAAATATGGGAATAGCACGTTCAATTACTTGGTTTACCAAATCTTCAGCCTTCTACCATCATCGTTGTTTTTGCTTGGATGCATAATAACACAGGCCTCTTTAGGGAAATCATCTGATATCTGTGCTTCATCAGAAAGTGCAAAACGGCCACAGATATCAATCAAAAAATCGCTAACATGAATTGAACGACCATTGCCTTTTTTTTCGTAAGGGTTGTTCTCTATTAGGAATTCAAAGACTTCGACTTCTATCATAAGCTGAGAAAATGCATTCATTATGTGTAACAAGAATAAGTGGATTATCGGGCCAGGTTACTTCTTCCAAGTTGTCTCCTGAAAAAGTAGGCATTCTTCATTCAAGTTCATTCATTCGTTCTAAAAATATTTTTTGATAGGTCACTACGTCTTCTCTTTCATGTCCATCCATATACATTCTCTTTTTTATCTTAACGTATGTGTATCCAAGCTCTTTCAAATAGTTTCTCGCAGTATTAAGGTGAATAGTTGGAGATAGTGCAAATCTGAGCCTTGGTAAAATAATTTTATTCATTTGTATCATTAATATTTGTAAAGTAATTTCCCACTTGTGCTTCCGAACATATAGAAGCGGTCATAAGTATCTGACCTCTCATAATTCTTAAAGTTAATTAATAACACCCATTAAAATTTTCCAAAATTCAAGAATAATACCAATGTTGATCACGCGTAAAATTATAAGTTCGTATAACATATAAATCAAAAATTAGATGATCGATAAATTTTGCATGTAAATTACCGATATTTTTTAATAAATTAAACAAAATAGTTTTTTTTTATATAAATTTCAATAATGACTGAAATGGAATTTCAAAAATATAG